CACACGCAAAACCAAAACCCTGCATATCAGCAAGCTTTAAGATCCTAGAGCAAACAATAGATAGGAAAAAATTCCCTCCTCTACTCCCTTGGATGGTGAGAATGAACATCAAAGTAAACCAAAACCATTGCTTCTTCAAAGGCTTCCTGGAAATGAGCCCATTTACCCACCTCCTCAATGCCTGTTCCTCCAGTCTAACGTGTTAGCATGAGGTTTTTTGCCTTCACCTCAAAATGAATTATGAGGGATGCTGGTAGCAATATTTCACACTGTTCTCTTACTTATGTATCTAAATAACAATTTTCCTTTATTGTTTATTCTAAAAACAATTAAATTTTTCCTTCCTAAGTGCAAATTTCCCAAATCCTTAAATTAAAAACTAATGCAGCAGTGGTAGGAGTGGAAATAAGTGATATTCTAAACTTGAGTTAGGCCAGATGATGACCTTTCAGAAGGTCTGGATGTTCTAACTATCTGGTGCATCCTCTGTTTTTTTATAAATACAGAATTCCCAGTCCATATGTGAAGAATTATATAAGAAATATAAAGAGATTAAGTTTCTTAGTCCAATAGTCTTCTTTTCTCCTAGGAAATTGTAGAGTAAGGACTAAAATACAAATTTTTATTGCTGATGGGAAGGATTTACATTTTATTTATTTTAAACATCCCAATAAAATACTATGATTATTGTACAATCAAAATTCAGTCACTACTTAGAATTATCCACAAATCTCAAATTTACCCTTCCCTTTGCTTTCCCTTCTTCCTTCCTTCCTTCCTTCCTTCCTTCCTTCCTTCCTTCCTTCCTTCCTTCCTTCCTTCCTTCCTTCCTTCCTTCCCTTTTCTTTCTTTCTTTCTTTTTTTTGGTATCATTAATCTACAATTACATGAGCAACATTATGTTTACTAGATTCCCCCTATCATCAAGTCCCCCCCATGTACCCCATTACAGTCATTGTCTGTCAGTGGAGTAAGATGCTATAGAGTCACTACTTGTCTTCTCTGTTACACAGCCCTCCCCATGCCCCCCATACATTATGTCTGCTTATCGTAATGGCCCTTTTTTTCCCTTTATCCTTCCCCTCCTACCCATCCTCCCCAGTGCCTTTCCCTTTGGTGACTGTTAGTCCATTCTTGGGTTCTGTGAGTCTGCTGCTGTGTTGTTCCTTCAGTTTTTTTCTTTGTTCTTATACTCCACAGATGAGTGAAATCATTTGATACNGTTTTATTCCTTCAGTTTTTTTTCTTTGTTCTTATACTCCACAGATGAATGAAATCACTTGATTCTTGTCTTTTTCCACCTGGCTTACTTCGCTGAGCATAATACCCTCTAGCTCCATCCATGTTGTTGCAAATAGTTGGATTTGTTTTCTTCTTACAGCTGAATAATATTCTATTGTGTATATCTACCACATCTTTATCCATTCATCTACTGATGGACACTTAGGTTGCTTCCATTTCTTGGCTATTGTAAATAGTGCTGCGATAAACATAGAGGTGCATATGCCTTTTTTGAACTTGGCTGCTGTATTCTTTGGGTAAATTTCTAGGAGTGGAATTCTTTCTTGATTGAAATTCCAGGCTTCATCTTTTCCTCTGAGGGTTTAACACTCATGCACATACACACACACATTGCAAAGTGCCCTGATATTAAGTGTGCAGCTTATTTAAATTTTATGACTATATACTTAAGTATAATCAACACACAAATCATGGTGCAAGTATTCTGGCACTACAAAATGCTCCTTCATGGTCTTAATACCATAACTTAGTATTATCTGTTGTTAAAACTACATGAATGGAATCTTACATAGAGACTCCTTTTATCTGTCTTCTTTTATGGAAAATAACATTAGTGAGATTCATTTACATTATTATATATCAATAGCTTTTTTTAAAAAATGATATTTAGCCTTCCATTTTGTGAATACATCAACAGTTATTTATTCTCTTAACAATGGGTCATTTTTTTGAGTTTCAGTTGTAGACATATACACTCATACTAAGTGGAAATCCTGGGACATAAAGTATATATATTCAGCTTACTGCAAATAGTACTCCAAAGTAGCTGTGCCATTTTCATATCCCTATCAAAGGTTTATGAGTAATAAGATTGAACATTTTTGCATATGTTTATTGGCTATTTCTAATGTCCTTCATTACAAAGATTCCTTTCTATTTAGTTGTTTTTTTTAATTGATTTGATATCATTAATATACAATTACATGAGCAACATTTCGGTTAGTAGACTCCCTCCATTATCATGTCCCCACCACATACCCATTATAGTCACTGTCCATCAGTGTAGTAAGATGCTGTAGAATCACTACTTGCCCTTTCTGTGTTATACTCCCTTCCCTGTGCCCCTGTGCTAATTGTAATGCACCTTTCCCCCCTTATCCCTCCCCTCCAACCCATCCTGCCCAATTTCTTTCCCTTTGGTAACTGTTAGTCCATTCTTGGGTTCTGTAAGTTCACTGCTGTTTTGTTCCTTCAGTTTATTCTTTGTTCTTATACTCCACAGATGAGTGAAATCATTTGATACCTGTCTTTCTCTGCCTGGCTTATTTCACTGAGCATAATACCCTCTAGCTCCATCCATGTTGTTGCAAATGGTAGGATTTGTTTTCTTCTTATGGCTGAATAGTATTCCATTGTGTATATGTACCACCTCTTCTTTATCCATTCATCTACTGATGGACACTTAGGTTGCTTCCATTTCTTGGCTATTGTAAATAGTGCTATGATAAACATAGGGGTGCATCTGTCTTTTTCAAACTGGGCTCCTGTATTCTTAGGGTAAATTCCTAGGAGTGGAATTCCTGGTCAAATAGTATTTCTGCTTTTAGTTTTTTGAGGAACCTCCATACTGTTTTCCATAATGGTTGAACTAATTTACATTCCCACCAGCAGTGTAGGAGGGTTCCCCTTTCTCCACCTCCTCACCAACATTTGTTGTTGTTTGTCTTTTGG